CAACTGAATTGAAAAAACCTTTAAAAAAAAAAAAAAAAAAAAAAGTGTTTGTTTATTTATTTATTTATTTATTTGTTTATTTATTTATTTAAATTGCTATTGGGCATGTGGGCTCACCAGAGAGAGAGACAAAGAGAGAAGGAAAGTGAAAAAGCAAGCCACCAGGTCCAGGACTTGAACTGCCATCAGCCATGTGTGAGTCCAGTGTGTTCATGCCACCTGCTGGCCCCTGGATTTTTTTTTTATGCTTATTAATTTATTGCTTCCAAAAGCAAGAGAGATAAAGAGATATAGAGAGACAGTACCCCTCACTGGGTCCTTCACACTGTGATCCACCCCAGCCTTCCACGAGCCCTGGGTCATGGGCACACGTGCATTTGGAACACCAAGACTTGAACCAGGACCCTTCCTGTGTGGGATTGTCTCAAAGAGCATCAGGATTTATCACTCAGCCACCATCGGGCCCCAACAAGCATTTTTCAAACCTCTGCTCACACACGTTAGTAACAACTCACTGGCCGAAGTGAATTTTGACACTGACCCAAAGGCCAGGGGTGAAGAAAGTGAAAAAGAAAATAAGCCCAGGGACAGCAGGTGGCATATCTGTTACAGTGCTGGACTCCCACATGGCCAACTATGGTTCAAGTCCCAGACCTGGTGGCTTGAAAATCACACTGTGTACATGTGTGTATGTGTGCCCAAAATCCCCAAAGGAGAATGGAGAAGGGATTGCAGCATGGCTGTCCCTGCTGGGGGGTGATTTCTCACTTTCCCTCTCACTGTCTTTTCTCTGTGTCTCCACTGAGCACAAGTGCCTCACAGCAAAAGCCTTGAAAGAAAAGAAAGAAAGAAAGAGAGAGAGAGAGAGAGAGAGAGAGAGAGGGAGGGAGAGAGAGAAAGGAAGGAAGGAAAGAAAGAAGGAAGGAAGGAAAAGAAAAAGAAAAAGAAAAAAAAAGAAAAAGAAAAAGAAAAAGAAAAGAAAAAGAAAAAGAAAAAGAAAAGAAAAAGAAAGAAAAAGAAAAAGAAAAAGAAAAAGAAAAAGAAAAAGAAAAAGAAAAAAGAGGAAGATAACGGTCCAGATGAATGAGGTTTGCTGAAATTTACCTGGCCCGGAGAGAGATGCGGCATGGAGTCTCAGTCACATCCGCACAAACCTGTCCGCAGTAATTTCTCGAGGACACATACCACAGAGCTCGAACTGACTGGTACAGTCACAAAGCCACCTACGTCACCAAGGAGTGCACAGAGCACACTGGGATGCCCCTCCCGCTGTCACCATGTTCCCAGAACGTATGACACTGAACATCAGAAAGCCAACCGGAAGCTTACATTGTTCTTGTGAACCAATCCTGTTTTGTTTTGTTTTGTTTTGTTTTTTTTCCTTTTCATTGCCAGAGGGTGTGTGTGCTCACCAGAAAGAGACAGACAGGGGGAAAGGGAGAAACCCCCATAATGGGGTTGGCCACACCCCCATTCCTTCTGCATTTCTCCATCCCCGCGAGACTTGGGACATTTACATACACATGCCCAGTATGTCTTTCAAACCACTCGGGCTGGGATTATACTGTAAGGTCAGCCACGTGGGATCCAGACCCCTTAACCACTAGGGATGGCCTCAATGCAAATTCTTAAGAAAAGATAAATTGGAGGGACCAGCAGTTAGCGTAATGGCTATGTCGCTGGACTCCCACGTAGTCAACCGCAGGTCAAGTCCTGGACCTGCTGGCTTAATCTCATGCCAGGTGCATGCGCGTGCGTGCCCAAGATCCCGAGAGGAGAATGGAGGAGAAGGGACTGCGGTGTGGCCATCCCCCCGGGGGGGTGATTTCTCGCTTTCTGTCTCTCTGTCTCTGTCTGTCTCTGTCTGGCGAGCACACGCACCCTATAGCAAAAACCTCTCCAAAAAAAAAAAGATAAATTGGAGCCAATAGGTGGCATGGTGGTTAAGGTGCTGGACTCCCACATGGCCAACTGCAGTTCAAGTTCTGGGCTTGGAGACGTGCTTTCTCACTCCCCCCTCCCCCCACACCTCTCTTTCGCTCTCTGATTCCCTGTGGTAAACACACATGCTGTATAGCAAATTTAAATAATAATAATAAATAAAATGAAATCATTATTTTTTCTTTTAAGAATTATTTCTTGGGGACCAGTAGGTGGCGTGGTGGTTAAGGTGCTGGACACTCCCACATGGCCGACCACAGTTCGAGTCCTGGACCTGGTGGCTTCCTTTCTCACTTTCCCTCTCTCTCTTTCCTCCTCTGTGTCTCTCTCTGGTCAAAATAAAATAGATGAGGGAACCAGCAGTTAGCGTAATGGCTATGTCGCTGGACTCCCACGTAGTCGACCGCGGTTCGCGTCCCGGACCCGGTGACTTAAAACTCACACCAGGCGCGTGTGCGTGTGTGCCCAAGATCCTGAGAGGAGAATGGAGGAGAAGGGATTGCGGTGTGACCATCCCCCCGGGGGGTGATTTCTCGCTTTCTGCTGTTCTTTATAAAAAAAGTGATTTCTTTAATTCCATGTGTTGTTATTATTCTTTTTAATTTGACTAGAGAGAGACAGAGAGAGAGAAAGGGAAAGTGAGAAAGGAAGCCACCAGGTCCAGGACTCGAACTGTGGTCGGCCATGTGGGAGTGTCCAGCACCTTATCCACCACACCACCTGCCAGCCCCTTAAAAAAAAAAAGCCCCCCAAGGGGCCAAAAAGTGGCTAAGGCATGCTGGACTCCCACATGGCCAGCCATAGTTCGAGTCCCAGGCCTGGTGGCTTGCTTTCTCACG